TATAGAGAGCCTCATAGACCAATTCAGGAATGAAGTTATCAACGACCTGAAGCTAGAAGTATGCAGAATAGTTAGAGAAATGCTAAGTACCACCCAAGAAAAAACAGGTGGTGGAATGGAAGAACAGAAAAAAAGGGGAGAATTGTTTGATGGAGAAAACAGAGAAAGCATAGAATACGTGAAGCAGGTTCAAAGGGACTACCAAGATACTAAGAAGTCTATAGAAGACTGGCATAACAGCTTGAAAGAAACTAAGGACAGACTATCTGAACTGGAGGGCAGACTTGTAATATGGGAGAATGAAATGAAAAACTTCTTAAAAATAACAAAGAAACAAACAGCAATAATACAAAGACAAGAAGATGATAAGAGGATCCATAACTTAAGGATTAAGAACATAAAAGAAGAAGTAGGGACACAGACAAGTGAACTACAAAAGCTACTCACAGAAATAATCCAGGAGAATTTTCCTAATTTAGCAAAAGGTAAAGATACTTAGATGTATGAGGCATACAGGACCCCAGCTACCTACAACCCAAACAGAGCAACACCCAGGCATATAATAATAAAAATTCCAGAAATTCAATACAAGAACAGAATATTAAAAGCTGTAAGAGACAAGAAACAGACCACTTACAAGGGAACACCCATCAGAATTACAGCAGATTTCTCTGCACAAACCATCAAATCACGAAGAGCGTGGGGGGAAATAATTCAAGCTTTGAAAGATAATAATCTCCAGCCAAGATTGAGATATCCTGCACAACTGTCCCTGGAAATTGATGGAAAAACAAGGTGCTTCCAGGATAAAGAGGAACTGGGGGAATTTGCAACCACCAATTCAACTCTACAGAGAGTATTGCAGGATATTCTAAAAAAAGAAAAATACAAAGAATCCAGAAATAATGGCAGAGAGGCCACAACGAATGGAGCAGAGAACAAAATGAAGAAGACAAACTGACAGCTACTGACAGAAAAAGAGCTCAACAGAAATGAGGCAGAGAAGAATGGATGATAGGAACAGCTATTTTGGAGAAAATGACATCTTAATAGGTAATACAGTATCATCTTGTTTTGAAGTCTCATCTAGCTTTTGTCCTTCTGTCTCCAATGGTCTAAATAGGCTGTATCTTATTGGATTTTATTATGTACGATAGTATAAGCAAAAACCTTTTAAAGACAAGGAGATTATACAGAAACCATTGTTCATATTCTGTTAGTCGATTCTAAATACTCTGTAATGCTGTCATTCTCTTGAATGGTTTTACATTGTTTTGATATACTTAATGCTACAGTATACGAAGTTGTACTCAAGGATTTCAAAGAAAGAGACAATATGGTAACTACTTTTAGATTAGGATTATCTGGTGGTGAAACACTATTCTGCTTAAATGGTTATGTTTTGATCTGCGCTGTTTCGTTGTTATGCCCTCTTTTATCTCAATCTCCACTCCATTATTTACTTTTTTATCTTTATCCTTTTAATTAAAGGAAAAAAAATAGCAGGATATATTATAGTAACCCACTTTGACTTTTCATTACCTTGATTTAAAGCCCTGTATTACTCTCACCATCTGGTTTTTAACTGATGTTCCCCTATTCTGTTTTGCTGGATAGTATCAGGTTCGAAAGTTTAGGCATCAGCTGTGAAGATAATGAGATTCATTATGACGCCCATTCTTGTTGACTTTTATCTACTTTTGAAGACCTACAATGTCTCCAATGTTTTGGTTTTGTCGGTTTTATTCTTTACTGTTTTGTTCAATTGTATTATAACTAACGATATAGGCAATTCTATTAGAGATAGCGGGAGGCATTATGGTAACCATTGTTGATCACCTTGTATTATGTTTTTATATCATCTATTATGTCCACCCTTTTGACTTGACCGATTCTGTTCTGTTATGTCACATTTGGTTTTACTCTCTTCCAAAAAAGTAATAAGAACCGTGGGAGCAATGAAACCCAAAATGTGTAATAGTCATGGTACAAAAGAGAGGAAAAGAAAGTGCTCCAAACTATATAACTGCATGTATATTTAAGTGTATAAGATAGAAAATGATATCACAGAGTTTTATTGGATCAATGAACAGAACTGTTTGCAGTATCATTGATGGAATGTCCACTTTACAAGCTTTAATTTTGTGACTTGAACAATTATTTCTAAGATGACAATATGTAATCCATTAACTAGTGATTTCCTACTGTTCATTTTTTTTCTGTAAATCTGTACAACTTGTACCCTTTCCCTGCTTTTTTTTTTCTTTTCTCCTTAAATAAAATTAAAAAAAAAAAAAAAAGAGTGCAAACCAGAGCTGGCAAAATCTGGTTTCCTCCTCCATGTCAGAATATCAGTCCTTAGGATATGGGTGCATTTGTTTGATCTCCTGTCTTGAGGTCTGGTCCACAGCAGGAAGTGCCTGTCTTCCCTATAGTTAGTTACAAGGTATCTGGGTTTCTGCACTGGCTCCTTTGAAAACCTAGCCCTGTCTCATGCCTGCCTATAGTATTTTTAATTAACTCAGCTGCCTGTAACAATAGCATTAGAATATCACTGTCTTTGCAAGCTTCAATAAATTAATTACTTAGAGGCTGGGGATTTAGCTCAGTGGCATAAGTACCTGCCTTGCAAGCAGGTGGTCGTGAGTTCGATCCCCGGTACAGGAAAAAAGAAAAAATTAATTAATTAATTAATTAAATCTAATTCTCAGGTTATTTAACTTGGCATCTGCCTAGTCATGTGCCAGTACTGTGCTGTCTTAATTGTGATAGCTTTGTAATACGTTTTAATACTTTAGCAAACAGTCTTCCCCCCACTGCTTTAGACTTTTCAAGGTTATTCTTATAGATTTAGCTTTCCTTATAAAATTCAGAATGAATTTATCTGGTTTTAAAAAGTCATTATGTAATGTTTTTAAATAAAATTGGAATTGAGTAAAATGTAGTAAAATATATAGATATATGCATAAAGAGAATGATCATCTGGTACATGTTACTAACTTGGCTGAGATAGAATAAGGAATACAAATACCAAGTTTGCATTTATGTTGGGGAAACAGTTTTGCACAAGATTAGCAACTAATTTAGTGTATGTGCCAAGCAGCTTTTATATGGGGAAGAAGCAAGTCGTTCCATCAGGGTAATTCCCAGCCTCAGCTCATGGGCCACACCACATGGAGACCTTTGCGTTGTAGCTCTCCTCCAGTCAGTGTTAGCCAGGAAGATGTAGTGGCTGGGCCAGGGACATGGCTCAGCAGCGCAGCGCCTATGTGGCAAGTGCCTGTCTAGAAGCTCAAGGTCCTGCATTCAGTTCCCTCTACCAAAAAAAACCCCAAACAAACAAACAAGCAAATCCACTGGTTGCTCAGAATTGTCCTCATCTTGGATCACATTAAAGATGTGTGCAAAAAGGAAGGAGCAGGGAATAAAGCAGAAAGCAGCGTGTGGATTGAGTGCTGTGTGACCTCAGGCTGTTTAACCTCCTGGAGTTTTGTTTCCTCAGTATAAACCAGGGGCAGTCAATGATAATGATGATAAATGGTACCTAACTTCTGGAGTCACATGTCGCTTTAAAAGAGACAATTAACAGTACTTTGAACCTTACTAGGCAAACCCACCACTGTTCTGTAGATGTTAAATAACACAGTGTTATTTAAATTGGTCATCTGACTCTGCTGATCTGTTGGCGTCTAATTTCCTACATTCCATTCCTGATTTCATTATTTAGGAGAGGCCATAAAAGTGGTTATCTACTATATATGAGAGCTGGAACGGGGTGAGCTAGAAACATTGAAGAGACAGTAGGCCTTCTTACTGGAAAAGAGAAGACTAATGAGAAACAGAAAATATAACAGATACTCATTTTGCACTGCTTTGAGGGTGGGGGACTCAGACCACCTCGTGGAACTAGGTTTAACATAAGAGAAACGCTCTTACAAGTTCATCTGCTCAGCAGTGGACTGTAGTGAATGCCCTGACAGAAGAAATGGGAGAAGAAATTTGGGTTGCTATTTGTTAGGGAAATTATAAAATGAATTTCTGAATTAGGAAGAGGATGCTAAATGCTGACTAATGCATTTTTGGAGAAATTCGAATATAAATATACACATACGCAATTGCATATGTAAAAAATTCTCTGCATATGGCTCATCTATTTTCAAAGAATTGTAAGTCTTTGAAACCTTGTTTGATCCTTTTTTGTTAGAGGATATTGCAATGCCTTGTGGACATAAGCAATCATCAAAAAATGTGAAGAAGTGGTGAAATAAGACTTGGGAAATCGGAGGCTGGCTGGCTTTTCCACTCTGTTTATCTGTTGTTACCTTGGAGACCAGTCCTTAGCTTTTGGATCCCTTCTTTTTCATCCAGAGCTGAAATACCTGCTTCTTCCTTTGAGCATGAATCTTTAAAACAATAAGCACATTAGTGGAAGTTTTCTGCCACGAGTATGTATGAGGTTTTGAAAGGGAGAGGTTATTTGTGTCTAACAGACAGATGAGATGACAAATTTAAAGGAAAATATGTAACCCTACAAGCTTGGCATTGGTCTTGCTCTGTTTATCCCATTTCCCTTTACCTTCATCTTTACTATTATTCTTTTTTTTTTATTTTTATCTTTTTCATTTTTATTGGTACCAGGGATCGAACTCACAACCGCCTGCTTGCAAGGCAGGTGCTTATGCCGCTGAGCTAAATCCCTAGCCCGTTACTACTATTCTTTAATCAATAAATATAACCATAGACACCATAGAAAATTCTAATAAAGTTATAGAAGAGATAGTATTTAATATATTTATTTGAGATTCCTTCTTCAGTTTCCTTTATACTGGCATTACTGACTTGCTATAATTTTCTGTTATGTTTTGTGAAATTTTTACTATTGCCTGATACACGTAGGGTAACAGTGTAGATACTGTGTTAGCTCATAAATTGAACCTCATAAATGTGAACAAAATTCATATTCATATTTGATCGTCAAAGTATGGTTTGTACATTTGCAGTGAATGATGAATCTACTGCTGCCACTGATCCTGAAGAACCTTCTGTTGTCGGTGTGACGTCCCCACCTGCCTCAGCCTTGAGTGTGACCCCCAACCCCGGCACGACGTCTCTTCCTGCTCCGGCCACACCGGCTGAGGGAGAGGAGCCCAGCACTTCGGGCACACAGCAGCTCCCCACGGCTGCACAGGCTCCTGATGCTCTGCCTGCCGGGTGAGTAGCCGTCTGTCCTGCAGCAGCACGTTCCTCTCAAAGACTGAGCCTCCTTGAGCAGGTCCGAACAACGTGGTTATTTATTACCTAGTGGCGGGCAGTCTCTGGAGAGCCCACCATGCACAGAAACAAGGGGGTGTGGAGAACTGCTTGTTCTACATAAATCTTAAAAAGCCTCTAAATCATCTGGGCAGAATCAATGCTACCTTATGGCATGACTTGAACAGCTTGACTGGAAGAGAGGGGCTTCTGTGGAACAAGGAGCTCATTTTGCCTTCCTGAATTGTGGGAGAGAGTGTTTGCAAACCTATTGCCCGTGGGCTGTTTGTACCATTGAAATCTCTAAAAGTTCACCCTCCCTGGCCTGTATCCTGCCCAGAAAACAGCTTTTCTATCCTGAATTTTAGCTTAACAGCCTGTGGAGGACATGGCCTTTGGATGCTGAGTAGTACTGTGTATTATTCCTATAGCAGGGGCTGATATGAACTTAGACTCTTAGTTTTCTTGCCACCCTTTAGTTTGTAATGAAATCTGATTTGAAAATCTTGGATGAGAATATGATCCAAGGAAGTCAAAGGAAGTTCAAGTTTGCCTTTATAGTAAGTGAAGATTAAGAGAAGGGCCTTGGGAGTCAAACAATCTGGAACTGAATCCCCCTTTCCACCCCGCCTATGTGACTGACATTGGCCAAGTGATTTACAGGTTGGTAATGTGGAGATAATACACTTCTGCGTCTCCCCAGGAAGCTGAGGGACTCATACAGATGGGTAGTGAAGCGCTTTCCCAGTGGTGCACAGTGTCTCTGGTGAGTGATATTTTGAAGTGATTGTCCAGGTATCATAGAGGAAGAGAATGTCTTCTTCCTGGGAAGCAGTCCTGTCTCAGCAGTTAGTCAGGGCTAGTACTGGTGTCCATGCTTGTTCCTTGTTCGGCATGGAAGAAACCAGTGTCCATCTTGCTGAGTCATTGGTGACCTGCCTGGGTTGGCTTTGTGGTAGTTTGTATATATAATTTGTAAAGGAGAAAGGAAGGATGTATGGTCTCTTTCTTGATATATAATGTGCTGTATTGTTCTGAAAACCACTTTTGAAAACCTGATTGTTAAAAATCCTAAATCTGAAGACATGCTATTTTTAATATGTATGCTTGGTATGTTACTTAACTCTTACCTGTTTGTAAAGTGTGCTGACAAATGAAAAGTGGTGCAAATAAGTTGTAATAACTCAAATCTGGAGAGAATTGGGAGTGTTGAGAGGCAGCTCTGAAAACTCTGTCAAGTTTTTGATTTTGTGAAAAATTATGATTTTGTGAAAAATTATTAAGCAATTGCTTGTGTCTACCTGTGGAGATTTCTTTTCTCTTTTGTATGTGGTGCCTAATACTCGAAAGACCTTTGTTTGGTTTGTAATTGCAAGCCTCTATGCTGTAATTTTGAGGGAACAGCGCAGAATCACTCTGGCAGAAAGGAGGAAAATGGCCGCCTGTCTCCCCAGCGAGCTGTTTGTTTTCTTTCCACTGAGCAAATGCCTGGAAGGCCGCTCACTCCTGTGTCAGTCACAGGCAATTAGGGCTAATGGCTCACCATGTCTTTATGGAGGGCGTGTGTGAGGGTTACTGTTCCCTGGGATTGGGCACTTCCTGTTTCCAGGCAGCTGGAAAACTCCAGGCTCTGAAAACACTCTTTATTCTCCTCTGGCGGACTGCACGGCCCAGGGAAGCCGATTCCCCACCGTTGTATGGCCAGAGGCTGAAACACTTTTCTTTGGCTAAGCTTGAGCAGCATCTTTTCCTTGGAGCTTTTAGAATGTGACAAGGCCCTGTGTGGGGATATGGGGTGACTAGCACCCGCTAGAACCTGAGTGATGGCTCAGAGAAGGGCGCGAGAGTCCCAGTCTTCCAGCCCAGAAGGGCTTCTCAGTGTCCATCCTTAAGACGTTGACGAATCTTCAGTACTTTGAAGATTATTTCAAAAGACACCTAACTGGAGGTGGCCACCAGCACTGCCATGCGTGCGGCAGTGAAGACAACAGGCTTGCTGTTGACTCCTCTGTGTTGGAAGCCAGGATGGACGTGGTTTCTCCAGCGACCCTTCTGGCTCATAGACCTGCTGTCTCCATTCTCTTGGGGTTATTTGCAAGTTTGATAGGTCCAGATGATGCAGATTACTAATTTATTTTTGGTATCTTGACTTTAGAAGTTAGGAACCAATGAGAGCACAAACTCTGTCATGCTGATTCAAATCCCAGCAGAGGGCACGTTATGGAAGAGGGTTGCAGAGCCACCACGCAGCACGGGCACCTTCTTGAATTTGCATTTGATTGCTTGTATCTTTCTGGAGAATGTATAACTGTGGCATCTAAGTTGATCATCTGTTAGTATGCAAGTAACAGACCAAAGACTGTCCGTGACCCGTTTGTTTCACTAAACAAATGTTTGTTCCCGGGGTCACTCTGCATTCTCCCTCTGGTCACTTTGTCCCTTCCCTTGGCTTCCTTTGGGATCTGATGCCAGCTCCCTTTTCTGGATCTCGAACCCATTTCTCCATCTGGGGATTTTAACTTAGCCCGTGTGAAACAGCGTATTATCCTGCCAACCCCAGCCTGGCTGGAACCTGGCCTTCCTCCTCATTGTGGTGCCACTGTTCCCCGGCAACCACCGCCGACCACCTTTCACTTCTCCCTGACAGCAGTCTGTCCTCAAGTCTTGCCTCCAGCTTGCTGGAGTTTGCTCTCCTCTCCCCTTGCTTCTCCTTCTTAGCGTGTATCACAAGTGTAATATAAGTAAAGACTGACTCAGTCTCCCCTTTCATCCTCTAAGTCCCAATACGGACAGGGATCACGTCTTTCATACTTTGCACTGTATGCCCAGCACCTACCACAGTGCCTGGCATAGAGTGGTATTCCAGGAAATTGTTAAACATAAGAATGGTTCCCTTTCTTTCTCTTTCTCTTTTTTCCTTCTTTCCTTCCTTCCTTCCTTCCTTCTTTGAGACAGGGTCTCATTAGGCAATTCAGGCTGGCCTTCAACTCACCTTATAATCCAGGCTGACCTTGAATTCAGAGTAATCCTTCTGCCTCAGCTTTCTGAGTGTGGGGATTGCAGGCATGTGCCACCATGCCTGGCTAGAATAAGGCTAGAATGATTCTATTTCTTTCTTTTTTTTTTTATTATTTTTTTTTCCGGTACTGGGGGATCGAACTCAGTACCTCACACTTGCCAAAGAGGCCCCTGGGCCTTGATTCTATTTCTTATATAATTCTCAAGTCTGTCCACTTGGTGATAACACTTGTGTTGTGTTCCAGACCAAAGTGCTGTTACCTGTCATGTAACTTCCAATTTATTTTAACCTTTTTTTTTTTTTAAATACCGTGCTAGGGTTTGAACCAAAAGCCTTCACACAAAGCTACGTCCCCACTTCTTTTTGAAAAATACTTTATTTGGGGATAAGTTCTCATTAAGTCACTAAGTAGTACAGAATGGGCTCGAACTTGCTGTCATCCTGCCTTAGCCTCTCAAATTACTGGGATCACTGGTATGTGCTACTTCATCCAGCTATTTTAATCTTAATAAAACTCTGGTCATCATTTTCACCACTTGGAATGCTACAATGGCTTCCTACTGTCTTTGCGGATAAATTCTCAAAACCTTGATCAAGCCATAATCCCCACCTGGTATTGCCCCAGCGTACCCTCCCACCTTCCAAGGAAGCCACTCTCCTGCTCTCTAAGCTCCTGCATATTAATCTGCTTTCATTTGACGAATGTGCCACCGTCTCCCCTGAGCCTGAAGAACCTCCTCCATGCTGGTCTCCCTTTCTGAAAACTTCCTCAACATTTTATCTGTTAATTCCTACACATCTTCAAGGTACAGCTGAATCAGAAATTCTGGGGATCTTTCTGTGGTTGTCACCACTGTGTGTTTCACCACTGTGTGACTGTCTGTAACTCTTCTTACACTTGGAGCTGCTTGTTTGTGTCTCTTCCTTACTGGGCTGTGAAGGCCACAATGGCAGGAGCTTGGCACAAAGTGGGGCCTGTGACATTAAATGCTGTTTTTTTCCCCCTTTCCTCCACCTGGATGAATGTTTCCTGCTTCTCTGGTGCCTCAAAGAAAGAGCAGCTGTGACAAGAATATTGCGTTTTCCTTCCAAAAGCAAGAAAGTTGAGCCTGATAGTTGTCATTCACTGGGCTGATGGGTTTTGGGCTCGAGTCCCTGTCTCACACGGATCACAACGCTCTTCTGTGGTCCCAAAGGACCCCTGGGCACTGACACATGCTGTGGAGCGTGGCTTGTCTTTGCTAAGGCATTTCAGAGCCAAGCTAGATTGTTTGCTAAGGCCTGCAGCCGACTGTCTGGTTCCAGCTCTCTCTCCTCAATTCTTCAGTGTCCATTATTGAGTGATGGGAAAAGGCTCACTCGGGGATCCTGGTTTGGGGTTGCTGCCTTGTCCTTCTGATCTGCAGCAGCGAGAGCACTCTGGTCCTGGAGCGGTCACACACATCTGTGTCTCCAGGCCTGCGGGCGCCCTAAGTCCCACTGTAGCCATCCTCATTTGTCCCACCACCTCTCTACCTCTCCTGTGATCTTAGCTGTTAACCTAATTAGCACAGAAAGAAGCCACTGGAAGAGCCTGAGGTTTCCACGTTGCAGTTGCAAATGTCTGTTAAAGGAGGGGAGTTGAAGAGGCTGTGGGAGAGCGGTCCAGGCGGGGGCAGTGGGAAGCGAGGCCGCTTTGGTCAGAGGCCCTGCATCTGGTTTTTGTCAGCACCCCGAGCCCACTCTGGGGTCCGCATGCTCATTAACACACCATATGTACAAGGCTTCGATAAACTCCAAGCGCGCTTGGTCTCCGAGCTCCCCGCTTCCCTCGCACACAGAGGCACATTATTTCACCCTGGCAGCCAGCGCACTGCTGCGGTTTCTTACATAAGGGAGGGCGTTGTGTTTGACTGCCGATTTCCCTCAGCCCTGCCATTTCACACCGTCCCTTTCTCCCGCA